ATTTTATTTTATTTTATTTTATTTTATTTTATTTTATTTTATTTTATTTTATTTTATTTTATTTTATTTTATTTTATTTTATTTTATTTTATTTTATTTCATTTTATTTTATTTTATTTCATTTCATTTTATTTTATTTAAATTTTATTTAGATTTAAATTTATTTGGTATTAGAACAACTTATATTAAATTAATTTAAACATTTTTTTATGTGGTTATCACTTTTAGTTTTGGTTTATTTTTATTTTTTAATTCACTTTATTTGATAGGAAAGAAAATTCCTTACTAAGTACTTACTAAATATTTAAAAAGCAACATACGTACACAGACACCTTGGTTTATTATTTTGTACATTCATTTATTTCATTTCTTTTTACTTTCATTAATATTTTAATTTTTTTTTCAATTATTTATTGAATTTCTAGTTTCACTTTATATACCTAGTTACATGTTTTTAATATACTTGCATACATATTTAATTTATAACTATTAAATTTGTTTATTATTCTTTTCAATTAATTTGAACTATTAAATTTGTGTATATATGTAAACATTAAATATTAATTATAAAATAATTAAAGCTTTTATGTAGTTGGTGAATTACAATAAAAAAATACATATAAAAAATTATTTATGCAGGTTTGGCGCAGCTGTAAAATTCATACCCATACCGAAATATGTTAAACTGATTTTTAAATTTTTAAAAAATTTTATGCATATAAATTTTCCTCTTCTTATTTTAAAATTTTAATATAATTATGTGCATGTGCAATTTTTTTTTTTTTTAATTTATTATTGAATTTTAAAAGAATAGTTAAAATACATAGACAAGGTAGTTAAATGCACATTTATAATTATGTATACTTGTAAAAAAGTAAAGCCAACTACTGCCACTGACAGAGTGACAACAAACAGTAGCATGGCTTAACACAGCATAGAGCAGCGAGGCATAACAGCTGAGTTCACATGCTCTTATATGCAGCCAAATAATTTTAAAATACATATACATACATATATATGAGTGTGTGTGTGCTAGAGTGCACACATGATGATAATCATTGTAAATGCAGTGGCAGTCGTCAGTGGCATGCAACGTTGCATGTGTTAGCCGGTAAGCAGGAAAGAAATATAACAAAAAAAGAAATGAAAACAACAAGAATGAATGCGATTCATTAGCCGGTAGGAAGTTGGTACAGTGGGACAATTGCACTGAGCCGCTTGGATAAAATTAAGAGGAAGTAAAATGTAAATACTTCAAGCCTCTGCTGGGTTAGATTACTGACCTGGCGCCGAAGAGGCCACTTAAAATATGCGAGTTCAACATCAAATAGGAAACACCAGTCAATCCGCAATAATTATTTTGGTCGATTTAATATTCCTTAGGTCTCAAGGTTTGATTTCTTTGGTCGTTTGGCTTTTAGCTCTTTCTAAGCTGACGACAGTTCGTTGAGCTAGTATGCAGACTAACGAGAAACATTTATTTAGAGGCACCAACGTCACTGTTTCCTTAGTAGATTATTTATTAGCTGAAACAACTTCTAGAATATTTTTCAAAACAATTTCAAATATGAATCGTGCAGATGCTGTAGTGTGTAGATTCAGGTTTTTATAACTCCAGCAGAGCTAAATGATCTGCCAAACTCAGAATGTTCAACATGCCAAATAGAGTGTGCAGCACCTAAAAATATCTTTCTAGTCAAAATTTGGCTCTCCAAGCCTAAAGATTTTTTTTGAATTTACTTTCCACAGCGTACATATATCTCACACATTTCTTTAATCAAATATATGTAGTCAAACATTTAATGTAGCGCAGAGATATGCAGATAAGAAATTGTTGAGCCGTTAACCAGTTGGAAAACTAAAGAACATATGTATTTATTGTATACATACATATGTGTCTGAAAGCACAAGTTCAACTCAGGTAAGTACAGAAATGTAAAAATAAATATTATTGGTTGAGAAATGACTGGATGAGTATTTACTCACATAAATTATTGAATTACTGCCGGATTTGAATAACATAAAAATGTCTAGGAAAATTTCTAAAAAAAAAATTCTGAAAAAAATTGGCAGTTTAGTGGCTTTGGTGGAAAGCTGATCAACCGAAATATAGAATTCTATATATTTCAAAAATTCCATGTTTTATGATATTCGTATAATAGTTCATACTCGAATGATTTTTTCAAATTCTACTCTAAAAAATTAATATGAAAATAATTGTTTACTACTATTTCAGCATTTGAAGTAACAACAATTTTTATTTATATCTGTTCCCTAATTAGTTGGTTTTTTACTTTTATTTTAATTTTATTCCTTTTAACTTCATTAAGTTCTCTCCTAATTTTATTTCATTTTGTAAACTTCATTAATTGTATATTATATTATGTATAATCTGTTTAACTGAATTTTTATTACTTCGCATTATTTTATATTATTTGATTTCATTTCATATTTTTTTATTTCCATTATTTTATTTTATTTTGTTTGTTTTTTTAATTTTATTTCAATTTGTTTCATTAAATTTGTTGTATTTTTTTCTATTCCATTTAATTTAACAATACTTTATTTTGTTTTATTTTATTTTTCATTTTGATTTTTATTATTTATTTTTAATTTATTTTATTTTTCCTTTTTTATTTTACTTTATTTTATTTTAAGTTATTTCATTATATTTTATCATTTTTTTAATTTCTTATTTATTTCAAATTTTTACATTTAATTAAATTTTCTCTATTCTATTTTATTTATTTTTAATATTTAATTTTTTTCTAATCATTTTATTTAAATTTATCTCATTTTTAAATCAATTAATTTTTTTTCTTTATTCTAAATTATCTTATTTTGTTTTATTTTATTTTTTATATTGTTTTATTTAATTTTACTTTAATTTATTTAATTTTCACCTATTTTATTTTATAATATTTAACATTATCATAATTTATTTTATTTAAACTTTTTCATGTATTTTACTTTCTTTTTTATTTATTTCGTTTTATTTTATTCATATTACTTCTTTTTACACTATTTTTTCTTTCTTGTCTACTTTGTTCTGATTAATTTATTTTTTTTAATTTTATGTTGATTAAATTGATTTAAATATTTTATTTTATTTTGTATTATTTAATTTTAACCTTTTTTTGTATTATTTTGCTTTTAATTTTATTTAAATAAATTTGTTTAATTTTTTTATATTAATTTTATTCCCTTAACTCTTTTTTTTATGTTGTTCTGATCTGTTTTATTTTTTATTATTTTATTTTAATTTATATTTCGTTTTTTTAAATTTATTTATTTCATTTTATTTTATTTTATTTTATTTTATTTTATTTTATTTTATTTTATTTTATTTTATTTTATTTTATTTTATTTTATTTTATTTTATTTTATTTTTTATAGTTTAACCTGTTTTTAAATTTTATTTGTTTCAATTTTTCACATTCAATTAATTTTTTTCCTGTTCTATTTTAATTATTTTGATAAATTTTAATTTAATTTACTTTATTTTTAGTTTATTTATTTTTTGCTTTTTTCTGATTTATCTTATTTCGTTTTATTTTATCTTACTTTAAGTCATTTTATTTTGTTTTATTTTATTTTTTTTATTTTTAATTTCACTTTCTCTTTTATTTATGTTGTTTCATTTTATTATTTATTATTTTACTTTGTTCGGATTAATTTATTTTATTTATTTTATCTTATATAAATTGATTTAAATATTTCATTCTTGATTTTAATTTATATTATTGGAGTTTGTATTAAATTATTTTATTTTATTGTATTTTATTCTGTTATTTTATATTTTATCTATTTTTTTTTTTACTTTATCAAGTTTGTTTAAAATTATATCATAATATTCTTGTAAAATTATAGTATATTAGTTTTTTTCCATTTGTGATATTTTATGAAAATAAAAGAACCTTTTAAGCTAACACAGTCAAATACACACATTTAATTAATTTGAAGTAAATACTCTAGTATATATATGTACATACATTTATATGTGTATATATTTTATTAAAAGCCAATTCGATAATTTCCCAATAATTTTTACTACACACAATACAATTATATAACATTCGTGCACATTTATTTTTTATCATCATATATATATACATATATTTATATATATATATAATTATATATAATTATGTAATATTAACCTTTATGTATATGTAGTTTAATATATGTAATTCTTGTCGCTTACATATTTTCTATGTAAAACTATATTTACCATAAGACTTGGTGATCAGTACTTCTGTATATGTGTGTATGTATGATTGTTTGTGGTTTTTAAAAATAATTGCTTCCGTGTATTATTATATATACATATATATATTGAAAACCTATCAAAAACCATGGACCACATTTGCGAAATCTAGTAAATGCAAATGAAAGTAAATACTTTTTAAAAACTATTTAAATTTATATTGTTTTTAAAATAAACTAATTTTTTTTCACAAAATTCACTTAAGCCACATTAAAAGCTAAATATTGTGCACTAAATGTACATAAATAATCTTTATTTTTAATTTTTAAAAACTGTGTTCCCTATGGTGAGTTTTGAAGGGATATACATACATAACGCTAGTTATTAATTAAATCAATTTTTACAAAAATGTCTTCCTTTCTGAAAATTATTTTTTATTTTAAATTAAATAACATTTTAAAGTTTCAAAATTTTTCTACATCATTCATTTATTAAGTCCTAACATTTCTTATGCTTTCAAATCAAGTTTCACCATATTTTGAGATGATTTTCTGTTTCTATTTCAGTGTTGGCCAACGTAATTTATGCTGTTGCTGTTCACACTGAAATCTCTTCCAATAAATGCTGACATTTTTATATATACATTTGCATATGTCTATTTACGAAATATAGTATTTTAAATCAAAATCCTTTCCATTTATTTTAATCTTTGGTTTGCTTATTTACATTTATCGTTTTTTTTTTAATTTTTTTAATTTTTTTTTTTAATTTTCAATTTATTTATTAATTTAATTTTCATTATGCGGCATTTAAATATTTTTTTTTATTACACACCTTTGCAATACATTTTCGGCAACATACCGTTTTATTTAAACATTTTTCCAACTCTGCTTTTCAGTTCTCTTTATTTTGAATTATTACATTCTTTATTTTTGAGTTCTACATTTTTCGCTGTTTTACAGTTTCATAACCTTAAAATTATTCATAGATATCTAAGTAGTTTTTGTGACTTTCAGCTTAAATAATTTCTTTACATTATTTATTTTAAATTTATTTAATTGTATTTTGTTTGTTTTTCTTTATTTTTTGGCAGCCAAGTCTTTTCTTAGGACCCTCTCTGACGGCGCTTTCTTTAATCTTCAGTTTCTTCATTTCCGTTTGTCTTCCTTTACTCCATGTAGTAGCTGAAGCTACGCTTGCGTTTACTTCCCACCGTTTTCAACCTTAGTTACCCGGATTTAATCCAACGATCAATGGAATATTCCAGAGCCGAAACCCACCTGTGAATATGACGAAATTTATTATTTAGGAAAAGCAAAATTTTTTTTTTGAAACCACAAAATGACTCTAAAAATACTACAACTAATTAATCAATTTTTTGGTTCAAAATCTAGTATGATTCTGTCTTTACTCTACGCTAAGAACAACTGAGTTTTCGAAATATATAAAAAATGCATTCAAGGTCATGATGTTAGATCAATTTTGGAGTCGACTATCCTATCTTATAAATATTTCCGAGTTGGGATTCATTGTTATGCTTTTAAAAAATATTGAGATTGCGGAAAGCATCTAAGGCACTTAAAAAAGCTTGAATCATATTTTTGTCTATACAGTTGAAGATTTTTAATGCGGTAAGCAGACCTGTTCCTGAACCTACGCCAATATTTATAAAACTTAGATACCCAATACTAATCAATTTTGCCTTAGTTCTGTTGTTTTATGGCTTAAATTTTCGATTTTGAGTCAAACGTTAGCTGAAAAGTTCGATAATTATAATTATCCTGTCATTCTGTTCATTGATTTATGAGATTTAGTTTCTGCATTTTGTAATCATTCTGGAAGCTATGTGGTTCCATATTTGGGACTCAAATATCTTAATCCGTACTCGACGTACTTTTAGACGATTGGAAAGACAGACATGACTAAAAAAAAATAAATCTCTTTAATCCATGATTTTTGATGGATCGTCCCATACAACCCTTAGTTTAAGAAACTTAACATACATATTCTGTATTAAACAGAACAGGTTTGTCAAAGGTAACCGGAGGTTTTAGTTACGATCGACATAAACGCTTAATAGTACTTGTGCGGGGCATGGAAAATACCTCTAGAGTTCTACTGAGTAACTATGGATGTCAAGTGTGGTTGCAAATTTCAGTATCGTAAATAATTCTAGAAAGTTGTTAAACTCGCTGCTAAACTCGACATTTCCATAATCCGTAGTTTCACCACAGAAATATTTTCGGTAACAAAAAAGCTGACGAGTTGGTCCAGTCGGCAACTTCACTTGAAAAATCCAGAGCGGAGTTAATATCTCGTACGCTTGGCATGAGCAGGATTGAATTTTGATTCCAATTTGAACCAATAGCACAGAACAGATATAAGTCTTTAACTGACTTTTAAGTAACCGAGCCAATTGCCTCCAATAAGACAGTTTAAAAGCTAAGAACATATTGAATAGGTCTAGGTAGAGTAGGGATAAATGTATAGCAAAATTAACATTATACAATAATGGGTCACCGGCCCTTTGAGAGTATGAATCTAGAAAAGACTATAAAGCATTTCCGTGAATTAAAAAGGAATGGTTGGTCGGTTGAAAGTGGAAATGAAAGACTTGCAACTAAGACATTCAGTATGCTTACTGTGCGCCCCTGCCTAGCCCCTCTATGCTTTTGCGAACAGCTCGTTCGAATTAAAACAATTTTTTCAGTTATTTCCATTCAAAGCAAAGAAGCGGAGAAACAGAATTTCTGAGACTGCGCATAGATTTTTGGATTAAGTTCAAAAAAATTTATGTAGAGAAAAAGATGCCTCAACCTTCATACTATAATTATAGAAAAAGTATCCGAACGGGCAAAGCTGTTCAGAAGAAAACTTTTAATCGATAGTCGGCTCTGATTTGTGCTGAGTAAACTCAACTTTTTACGACAAAGTTATTTTTCGAATAGGGTTTTTTTTATAAGAGAACAGCCTACGATAGATCGAGCGCCTTTGGAGACAAGTTTTGTCAAAATTTTCATAAATATTCGTTTGAATGGGTTGTGAATTCATAATCTTGAGCTCGTAACTTGAGGCTCCCAATAGAAATGATCTAGTTTCAAAAGTTCAAAAATCGTCTTAATACATCAAAAGCTAAACTCGCGAGAATTGATTTCACGTCTTTCAAGCCCGAAATTACAATTATGAAAAAATATTTTAAAAATATTTGTACCAAAACCTCACTTTCTCAACTCACCTCTTTCTATCCATTTCCGATTCGGCACAACAATAGAAAGGACGAAATCTTGCGGGATCCGGTGGTGCAATCTCAAAGGAATATTTCTTACCCGCAGCAATAGTTGGATTCAATTGTACCTTATAGCCATGCAGGCAAGCCATACCTAAATAGGAAAAGAGAAAATGAAGAGAGACAAAGAGCGTATGAGAGAGTTTGTATATGAAAATGAAAATGCTGTTCCCCTACGTGAGGGTTTAATACAAAAGAAGAAAGTAAGTGTAAATTAAGTAAAAGGAATAAAATTAAAAACGAAATAAAGAAGAAAATCACAACGAAATTAGAAGAAATTAAAAAAAAAAACAATATATATAGAAATACAAATACAAAAAAAAAAAAATTTACTCACCAAATGCCGTTTTGCTATTAGCATCCTGATAAAAGTACAAGCAAGCATCCTTCAGCACACAGTAGCGTTTCGACCAGCCACACCAGCGGGAGCCCAACTTCAGCAGGTAACCAAAACAGTCCGGACGTATAATGCTGCAGGGTGGCTTGTAAATATTTTGTGCGCTGCATGCAGTCAAACAAAAAGGGGCAAGAGAAGGAGCACGAAAAGAAACATAGAATTTTATAATTGAAAAACGAGATTAGGAAATACCAGGAAATTCATGAAAAAAAAAAATTAAAAAAAAAAATTATAAAAATCAGAAAAAAATCCAAAGAAAAATGCTCAACATACCAATTATCCAGCCAGGGTGTGGTCTGCGTGGCTGCTTGTTTCAGCAACTTAATCCAACGGCTGGACAGCTCCTCCGAGTCGGCGGCGACATACAGCGGTATGCCTTCGCCAGGATCGATTTTGAAGGCGTGCGGCTTGCCGACCTCAGGCGGGCAGTGATCCACAGTGTGTTTGGCCATAATCATAGCACCAACCGGTTGGTTGTCCTAAAAGACGAAAAATGTGCTCAAAATTCCTTGTCTTATATTAACAGAAAATAATAAAAGATGTAGAAATAATTATAAAATATATATATAATAAAAAATTAAATAGAAGAATAAATTTTAGAAAATTAAAAACTTTTATACAAAATTTTTAGTTAAAAAACCACATATTTTCTCTCGCACTCACATCTTCCGTCTTGTAATAGTACAGACAATTATCCGGTCGCAGTGAGAACCAACGACGCACCCACTTCTTCGTATTCGGCGCACCCTTCGCCTGCCCGCTCTGTCGCCACAAGTAACCACTGTAAATCGGCTGACTCTGCGGCTCTTCTTGTTCGTGCATGAGTACGCCGATCGTACGTGCCACCTCCAATTCGAGTGTCTCACAACCTTTGTGTGCGATTTTCACCACTTCGGTATGATTTTTATCCAGCACCTCAATGCCATTCACAGAGATAATTATATCGCCCACTTCGAGACCGGAATTTTCCGCTGGTGTGTCGGGTTCAATGGCGGCGACCACAACGGGTTTCGAGCCATGTATACGAAAACCAAATTCGCCAGATTCACTTTTAACGACAATGGACTTATCAACGCCTGGTGAGAGTATGACAGGGAGAGAGGGAGAAAGAGGGAGCGCAAAAAATGACATAATAAAGAGAAAGATAGAAAGTATCATAATATTATGAATTTTTATAAAAAATATGTATATACATTTATACATATATATATAATTTATTTAATTCTATTTAATACCCCTTTCGCCGGCTGTAATCTTCGAAATTACATGAGACTCGCGCGCCCATACCAAGAGCATCAACTTCAAGACATCTTCTAGTTTACGACGTAGAGAATCCGATGCCGAATTTGATGTGATCAATTCGATCATTGTTGCAAAGAGTTTATTGCTCTCTTTTCAAAGAAGTTCTTTTCTCTTATAAATTTCGCTCACTCTTTTATTTCTTTTATATTTAAGTTCTGCACTATTTTTTTGAAGAGAAAATACTAAATTTTATTGTTATCTGTTATTTCTCTGTTAATTATATATTAATGTGCTCTGCCCAATCTACGAAAACCCCATAATCCCACACACGTCTGTACCTAATCTTTGAAGAGAGCCACGAGAAAAGATCTACACGCCACTCTCTTTTAAAGCATACTTCGATGGCACGAAAATGAGCGCATTCTTGATTTGAATACGGTTGGGTAGAGCACTTAGCACCAAAAGCTGTGTCAGAATCGGTAAAGTGTGATTGTTTTTTCAAGCAAGCATTCAGCGTATCTCGGCTTAGCTTCCATGGAGCTGCACTGGGGATATAAAAACTACTAACTCCCTCGCTCTCAGAAACGAGGCTGGTTATCACTAAGCCTCCAAAATACTTAAGACCACTTGGGCAAAAAATTCAACTGGTCACAAAACTCGAAGAAACGGCTCCTAAAAACATATATTTCTATGCTTGAAAATACGTGATGGTGCAGAAATAAATATGGCTTGATATCTTAAATTCACTTTATATGAAGAGATTAGGCCTATGCCTCTTTAGGAAATGGTCAACGCTCGAGAGGAAATCGAACTCCTGTAAATTACATCAAATGCAGAGATGAAGCATTGCGGATCACACCTAAGGTATATCGTCTGGGATCTACTCTTCATTTGACATGCGTGTGCATTATGCTACAGAAGGTATCTAAATGAAAGCTGACAAATCCCGTATAACCGTTGTATTTTTGAAGCTGAATTGGCATCTTGCAGGTCAGGGGGCTCAAGAATTTACACGGCAAAGCATGCCTGTCGTAAGAGGTGACTAAAATCCAATAGTTTCCGCTAGAGTCGGGTCTTTATATAGAAACGGCGTGGATTTTTCTCCGGGACTGTTACTACCGCAAAATTATCCAAAATTTACTTTGGAAAATAGTTACGGTTAAAACAACAATAATTGTCCAGGTCTAATGGTACTCTCGATGATTCGTATCTATATCTTCTCGGACAGCCAGTCAACACTGAGGATATTGAAATCTATCAGAATAAAATCAGAAACCGCCATAAAGGACGTAATGTGTAGGTAGCTGGGAACAAGTTTGCAAGAAAAGATACTTCTCCAACACTTTCGGCATCGTGAAAGTGCCTAAAGCATGCCACTCTCCAATTTCAAACTAATTACAAGAGAGTTATTCATCCCAGATGCTAACTCAAGATGGAAAAGTCTCAATTGTTGCAACGTGACCAGAATAATTTGGTCGACATAGAATAGAAGCTTACCCCGAAAGCGTATCTCGCTGAAAAGAAAAGAAATATCTTCAATGATAGGTCTTCTTAAAGCTCTTCATCTATTAGGCAGGCAAGCAAGGCGGCTAGTCTAACCATCAAACAACTTCTGCACGAGTTGTAGGAGGATGAACCTGAATTTCTAAGCAACTTCCCATGCGAGTGCCCTGCAATTTGGAGTAGCAGGTTGAAAGTTTCTAGGAAACTTGACCGGAATAGCCAGTGAAAAGATGTTTCGATTGCTTTTTTTTTTTTGGAAACTTTACATATTGATTTGACTAGCGGATGGGGCTAATAGAATTCGCAGAAGAGTCACCGATTGATGGCCTATGTGGGCTGATGTCGGCATCTACTTATCCAAACTTAAACTAATTGGCGGATCAATTTATTATTTGTTACTATTTATTAACTATTATTCTGCTTAAGATTTTAATGATGTTAATTTTTACTAATTTTTTTAATTTTTTAATTTTATTTTTTTGTAATTTTTTTTTTTTTTTAATTGTAAAAAAAAAGTATTTTGAAAATTTCAGAAGTTTTGAATTTTAATTTTATTAAGTTATTTTTTATGTATTATTTGAACATTTAATTAAAATTTTTTTTTCGTATTTTCTCCAATTTTTTCTTTTTGTCTTTTTTTATTTTTTATTTTTTTTTTTATTTGTTATTTTTTTTTGGTTTGACACTTATTTATTTATTTTTGTAATTTTAGTCACATATTTTGCACTGAATTTTGTGGCAATCAATTTTTCACTTTTCAATGTAATACATACAGACATATGTATGAATCTACATATGTTTTTCATCGCCTTTGTGAATGAACCACTGACCGCTCAATCACGCAGACCGTTCGTTACGCTTTATAAAAATACAAGCGTGTACAAAACACCTCATTGCTTTGTGAACTACTCTATATGTACTCATACGAGTACATATATACATATGTCTCACGCGGGCTAAATAATCTAATCGACTATTTTTAAAACAAACGCACAATTAAAGCGTGAAGCCCTAAAACACAATGCCGACATCAAAGGAACAACCACAGCAAGTACATAATATGTACATAGATACATACATACATACGAGCACAAGTATGTTTATATCAAAGACAATAAAATCACTTTATTAACGCAAAACAATTTTTCACGTTCACGCACCACGTTGTGGCCGAAACAAGCTACGCGCCGCTACTACACGCTTTTGCATGCAAAGAGTAATTTATTTCGAAAGTTTCAAAATCCACGTCACGCATTTTTTTCTTTGAATTTGTTACTAGTGTTTTTCAAATAGAATTTCGAAAATACGCTTTACTCTTGGCTAGCCGGCAAACGCTCTCGTCTGCTCAGTGTTTCTTATGCACGGTGTTCCAAAATTAGATATTGCTCTAATGCTGAAAGTCAAGTGGAGATAACAACAATGTTGCAAAATTCAGATTTTGAACTTTTGTGTGTGCTGGCGCTAAAACAGTTTGAAAGCATCAGAATTTTCGATAACGAAAGTGAAATTATTTTTTAAATTTTTTTTTTATTCAACTTCATGTTTTTTTGCTTCACTTTATTTTGTTTAATTTTAATCTTATTTTTTTACTTTATTTTATTTTATGTTTTTAATTTTATTTCAATCTATTATATTCTATTTTAATTTATTTTTTAATTAATCAGTTTTATTTGTATTTTCATTTTTATTTCATGATTTTTTATTTTTTTAGTTTACTTTATTTTATATAATCTTTAATTATTTTTGTTTTATATTGCTATAATTAATTTATACTTTAAATTCATTCGATTTGTTTATTTATTATATTTTTATATTTATTATTTTCTTTTTCTTTGTTGTATTTTAAATTATTTTATTTTATTATATTTCTTGTAACCTTTTTTTTTGTATTTAATTCAATTAATTTTATTTCATTTTTTCTATAATATTATATCAAAAAAATTCGTTCGGGCTTTTTCATTGTTTTTTCAAAAGATGATAACTTTGGGTGCAGCAGGACCTCCCATCCGAGCTCCTGGAGCTTCTGGATGAGTGTTGTCTTCAAGCGGACCATTTGTTGCCAGTAGAGGGTCGAATTTGGCCATAGGTGGGCAGCTCATAGTAGATGATTCCTTGCAAAACCTTCCTGGCCGCCAAACCGGTCTTGAACCGTCTGTCTAAGCCGCTTCCCCGAGCTTTGGCCACGATCGTTTGCGCTCGATGTTGTCGTATGTGACCCATTTTTCATCGCCAGTCACGATCCGTTTTTTGCGTTGGTTCGTGTGGCACCCAAACATCCAGCTTCTCTTTGAATCCTAGGTTATGCAAATGGTTCCAAACGGTTTTCAGGCTTATCTTTAGTTCCTCAGCAATTAAATAAGTGATCATGTGACGGTCTGTTTCCACTATTTCCTTGATTTTATCGCAATTTTCGACGACAGGCCTCCCGAAGCGTGGTGCATCTTTAACATCAAAATTACTGGAACGGAACCTAGCAAACCACTTTTGTGCTACGCGTTCGTTTACAGTATCGGGTCCATAAGCTTATTTAATTTTTTCAGCCGCTTTGGCTGCTTTTTCGCCTTGGTCGAAGAAAAATTGTAGAATTTAGCGAATTTCCTCTTTGCTGGAGTCCATCTTTGACGTGCGCTCACAACGTACTGAGTCCATCAATCGAAAAACTGTCAAAGACAAATTTTTAGCGCGAATAAACACGTTTTCAGCTACTATGGACAATAACGCCGTCTTTTAGATAAAAACCGAACGAACTTTTTACTTGACCAAAATTTTTTATTTTTTTTATTTATTATTTTTAATTTTGTTTTGATTTATTTTATTTTGTTTCATTTGATTTTGATTTTTTCTTTTTTTCTTTTACTTAATATTATTTTAATTTATCATGTGTTGTTTCATATTATATTATTATGATTCTCCTTATTAATTTTTTTTTTGTTTTATTTTAATTTTTTTTTTTTTGTTTAGTTCATTTTTATTTAATTTTTCTTTTTTTAATAGTTTAATGTATTTAACGTTGTTTAATATAATTTTTTTTTGTTTAGTTTTATTTTATTTTTTTTTTAATTTTACCTTAAAATATTTCTATCTTGACTTATTTTAATTTATTGTATTTATTTAAATTTTTAGATATGATTGCATTCCATATTTTTTAGTTTTGCTTCTATTTTACATGAAAGAGCTTAATTAATTTTTGTTTTATTCATTCATTTTCATTTTAATTTATTTTATTTTATTTTATTTTATTTTAATTTTTTTAATTTTTTTATTTTATTTTAATTTATTTTATTTTATTTTATTTTATTTTATTTTATTTTATTTTATTTTATTTTATTTTATTTTATTTTATTTTATTTTATTTTATTTTATTTTATTTTATTTTATTTTATTTTATTTTATTTTATTTTATTTTATTTTATTTTATTTTATTTTATTTTATTTTATTTTATTTTATTTTATTTTATTTTATTTTATTTTATTTTATTTTATTTTATTTTATTTTATTNTTCGTTTTGTTTTCTTTTAATTAAATTATTTATTTCATATTTATTCATTTGTTTCATTATTATTTTTCATTTTATTTTACTGTATTTGTTTTTTTTTCATATATTTTCCCTCTATTTTTCTCTTAAATTTATTTACAATTTTATTAACAGTTAGTTTTTTCAACTTACGGAAGTTGTTATTCCGCTGACGATGGTACATTTCCAAAGTGCAACGACGCTGAATCAAGCGATGAAGTATAACTTGGAATTTGGCATGAAAACTGCGCTCCGAATCTGTGGAGGGCCGTCGATCCCGAAAACGATCTGCCAAAGAATAAAGATTAATGCGTTCGTTACATTTAGAAAACTATAAAATATCTGAGGATTTCATACCGAAGCTCTGATGCGTCAGCTGTGCCCATATATCTTCGTCTGTCAAGCGCGAGTAGATTGCCGGATCGTAATGTCCACGATATACGATTTGGCTCTGATCGGCTGTCGCGTCAGGCAGAACGCAAGGACTCGAACCGGCTGGACGTAAACTCTGCGGACTGCGTGTGTGTACGTTATCACGGCTACGTTCCTCGCTCTGAGGGTTAGATATTTATATATGTATATAATTTTACGAAATATTTTCACTCAAATACCAACCTTAGCGCGTATATTCTCCTGTCGCGTCTTATAGTGACGCCCGCGTTCGCCGCCATGATAACGATCTTCCGAACGAAAACGTTTATCCATCTTTTTGTACAGACGCTGAGTAGTTTTCGCAGTTACCGGAGAGTCGGCGAAATCTGACGGTGGCTTCACAATGTCTTGTTCTATTTCATGCTCAATGTAAGGCAGTGATTCGACTGAGTCGCCTGCCAAAGCAATTATGCTCGTTGTCTGACCTTCAGCGCCCTTGCCACAATGCAAACAATGACTATGTGGCTCCGGCAGTGGACCATCAGCCTCACTGTAGAAGACAGAGTCTGAACCGGGCGAGACGGAACGTAGTGATTCTATGGACTTTGCTTTCAGTTGACAAACCTCGGAGGATGATTTAGTTTTTGCTGCGGTTGTGGTCGCCGCTTTCGTAGTTGAGGTGGGCGAGGTTATTACCTTACTCACCGTCTTAGACTCGCTAACATATAAGTCTTCACGTGCCTTCTCTTCCTTCTTAACGCCAACACTGTAATCCAAAAGCTTCTCATTACTGCCCGCTGATGGTGGTATGCCATATAAGTTGACCAGATTCTTTTGTCGCTTCGGTGCGCTGTCATCACGTGAACTCCGTCTAAACTGACGACGTATCTTTGGACGGAAACGTTTAATACGATTCGGACTTGTGGATTCGATAGTACCACCGCCGGTTGTGGACTGTTTCTCTGGCAGTTTTTCCTTTCCCACGCCAGCCGTAGCCACTGCCAAAGGCGTGGCATGTGCGCCCGCTAACGTTGACGCAGGCTTCTTAATCGGACTGGTAAGTGCGCGCAAATTTTCTTTTTCGATGTCTAGCTTCATTGTTGTCTTGCGGCGCTTACGCTCCTCATCGAGTCGATGACGACGCGACTTCAGCACGTTATCTTCATCGTGTGGGCTTTCATAGTAACCAGAGGATGAGTAGCGTACTTCGCTGCGTTCATCATCTGAAATCGATTCGGGTTTAATACGCGTCTTCTCACGTATAACGGAAGACATTGACGGTTCGGTGGTTTTGGTGGCGATTGCAATAGTAGCACCCATGACTTGCGCTTTCCCCCCGCTGGCTACTATCGTGTGTGGCGGCTTGGTCAGAGCAGTCGTGGACTTCTCAGTAAGCTCTATGCGCTTCTCAGCATGTTTCGCTGAGGGTGATGGCGTTTTCAGGCCGGCAACATTATAACTACCCGACGAAGTGCTACTAATCGAGTGTGAGGGTGAACGTTTCGTGAGCTCTGTTGGCGGTACAGGCGATTTGAGTTGGAAATCGCGATCGAGCTTATGTGACTTGCTGCTCGGCTTCTCGTCGTGTTGCAATAGCTCCTCGTACAGCACCTCGCCGCGCGTGGAGTAGAGCGAGGAAGCGCTCTCGAACGAGGAGCCTTGGGTACGGTCGATCTGTGAACTTTGTGTGGACACTGTCGGGGACGTGAAGAGAAGAAAAAATATTTTAGTCATAGGCGAAATGGTACTCGGTTGCTACATTTTAAGCGAGCTTGGAACTAAAGCGAAACTGAACCAAATGGGCATTACATACACACTTTTTGTTTTTGTTTTTTTTTGGGTTTTACAGAAGCGTTCATCAAGCAACAACAACAAATACCATACAAAAGTACTTAAATACTATCAGCTAAGGACGTTTACAACACAAATGTACATATGAATACGAGTACGTATATATGTATGTGGAGCCAAAGCAGAGTGTGAGCTGTGTGTGGATAGAGAGCGAAAGGGAGAGCACATTTAAATGGCCTAATTGCTTACATGAAAGCGTGTGTATATATATGTGTGTATGTGCTAAGTGCATAGAAATAAGTCAGAGGATTAGGTGCGGATTGGATCGTTGAAATGATGGATTGACAGACGATGAAAGATGAACGGATGAAAGGATGGATGGATGGATGGACGGATAAGAAGCTACTTTTACAGATGATGATGTGATGAAGGTTGGCAGTCAATTGGTGAGCCGAGTGATGATGATGACTCATAAGATAAGAGACACTGTACGAGCTGGATGCTTGGTTTCGCGTGTTTGTGTGTGTGCGTGTGTGTGTGTGTGTGCGTGTGTGTGTGTGTGTGCATGTGTGTGATATCTCAAAGCAACAAGCCACACTAATCTATATTGATTGACCGTTCTAATGTATGCATTGGACACTTGTCGTCGCTTTTGTCGCAAACCTGGTACTTGTGTCGTTGATGATGAGCTTGTTGTTGTTGGTGGTGTCTTAATACCTGGCGTACGCTTCGAGGTGTCGGTGCACGTGGCATATTCATCGGTGTTTGTGCTACACTCCGAGACGTCGGTGGTGTTATTGAACTTGTTGTTGTTGCTGCTGCTAGTGTTGTTGGAAGCTTGAGGAGTGGTCAAAGTCGCATCCATTACGACTCTAGCCTGTTGCACATCTGAGGCACGTCGACCCTCGCGTGGCATGGCAGTTGGTATCTCTTGAATGACACGTTTGCTGGTGCCGGGCGACTTCTTTGGTAGGGTCTCTTTCGACACGGACAGACTGGGTGTGACGGCAATTGAGGGTGTAGTGATTTTCGGTGGCACCGTTAATGAGGACGCAGACGATGGTGATGTCTTTGACTCACGTTGATACGTTGCTTGCGGTTGTTGTGTGATGAGCGCGCTGGATTTCCCAGATTTAGGTATTGGTGGTGGTAAAGTGCTCACTGCAATGCCATAAGTGGGACTCTGTGCGAGGAGATGGCGGAGATATTCGTTATTTATGGCATAAAATTGAACTAACCAATAACTCACCAAGTCCATTTGAGCGTCCTCCAAATCTAAGGCGTCTGTGTCGATGGAGCTGCGTTGCTGATGTTGCAATAGCAGATTTTTCCGACGCGTAGTCGGCGTTAGCAACATATTCGCGCTTGTGTACGTGCCCTCAACACCCTCCTTCGGCGGCTCGGCTGTCAGCACTGTGACCTGCGACTCATTCCAAATGCCATCGGAGTGATCGCGTGTCACATCGTTGGCGAGTGAGTCCGAGGATGGATAGGTGGAAGCGTTGGCGAATAGTAGTTCCTCGCGGCAGGGGCTTGGTGGCGCTGATACACCAATACCTTTTTCTTGTTGCACATTTTGTTCATCGAGACTGACGGAGCGTTTGCGCATACTGGCACGTCGTTCAGCAGCGGCACTGCTGGGTTTTTGCACACCAGGCACATTCTCATAAAGCGGATCATGTTGATCACTTTCCTCCTGCGTCGTTTTATCGGCATCCTCCGCATCAGTGGGTTGCTCGTGCTCCGCCTGCTCTTGGTCGTAGTCATCTTCGCTGACAGAGGAGCGCGGCTCGGCTGCCTGCAAAGCGCGACAGTTTTCACATTCTTCCACAGCTTTCTCTTCCTCCAGCTTTTGCGTTGGCTGTGGTTGTTTTGGCAGCGTTCGGTGTTTAGCTTGGGCCAGCTGCGCAGCTACTTTTGCCGAAATATTTGGTTTGAAATCGATAAAGATTTCCTTCTCATCCGACACATCCCCAGCTATCACCGTTTTCGGCTTCGCTTTCGAGCGAAAGGATGTGCGTGGTCCGAAGCCATCAATGAGTTTTTCGGTTTTCACATAGACCGGCATTGATTGTCGACGTATGTCGTCGCGTCTGAACGGCGTGGGTGTAACATCATCATCCAGTGGCGGCAGGGTCGCCACCATTGATTTGCGTCGATTCACATCTGTTACTACTGCTGGCTCCGGTTCATGGATGGGCTCTGCTGTTATCGTGGAAGTGGATGTCAATGGCTCATCGGCATCCTTACAGTACTCACTTGGCGGTGGGAGTAGATGGGGCTTAGAAAAGTCCAACAATCCACCATTACCACTGCCACTACTATTACTGCCGTCCATCAATTCCGTGCACTCGGTTATATGTTTGCAAATCTCATGCGCATGTTGCGACTCGCGGCGGGGTAAACTGTTGGAGCTGAAGCTGCTCTCACGATGAAAAGTGCAAGCGCGACGCGGCAAACTGTTGCTCTCATAATCGAAAGCCATGACGTCCTTGGGGAAATACGGCATACTCTCCTCGGAAGGCAGTTGTGATGAACGATGACTGTAGTAGGAGATAGTATCAAGCGGGGGTGGTGGATCATAGTACTTTATATTACTGGGATCGTCGAGTTCAAGTGGTGACTTAGGTGGCTCCTCGGATTGGGTGCGATAGACTATGTTGTGGTCGATGTAGTTTCTGAAAAAAAGAAAGAGAGAGAGACAGAGACAGAGACAGAGAGAAAGGAGGAGAATTAAGTGCGTTCCAGACTTTTTTTGAAAGAAGCCGGTGCTGTTGAGCAACTAAACCGGGTTCCAAGTATAGCCCTCCTTGTGGATTTACCTGATTTGTCTGTCATCTAAGCCCGGCAACGCTTTTCCGTTCGGCATTTCCGACAAACTCTTCGCGAGCTTCTTTCCATTCAATAAACCATTCGTTTGTGCGCCCTGTGAGACCACCTTAACCTGCGATATTAAATAAATTTTAGTCCTACAGGCCTGCGCCACAACATCACCCAACCTACCTTGTGAACCGTACGCGGACTTAACGCCAACACTTGCGTAAAACCGTCCTTACGCACCTCCGTCTGTGTGGCTTGCGTCTTCATGGCATTACGAAACTTCTTCTCCACCACCAACACCTCGGGACTGGGCGGTGCGAGCACTTGTGTGGCACACGTCAGCACACCCAAGCCGCTGGGCATTAGGCCAGCGTGTGTCGCAGCGCCACCACCACCACCGACACCCAGCGGCAGTTCGTCCATATGCGTTAGAGGCCTGCCGGTTAATAAGGAAATCGGTTGTTCAGTTTGTACTTGCGGACCTAATTCGGTGCCGGCAAAACCGGCAGGTACAAATTGATGTATATGTATGGGCGGCGGTCCATGGTGATGCTGATGTGAATGGCCATGTCCGCCATGCGTTGGATGGATGTGGGGCGCATGTTGATGGATGACAGCTTGTTGTGGATGTGAATGCATGGCGGCGAGTGCGGGCGGTAAAGTCGTTATATAATTGGTCGGCAGTTGTGGGTATTGCTGCTGCTGCTGTTGCTGCTGATGATGTTTTGGTTGTGGTTGGTGATGTCCCTGTAACTGTGGCTGTGCCTGCTGGTGTTGCTGTTGTGGATGCAAAACACCTGGTGGCAGCTGTTGCTGAGCCATATGCAACTGCAGTTGCGTGGGCTCGTATATAGGACCCGAAGCAATGATTGGTTTCTTGCCGCCAATAAGACGTTCTTGACTGCGTGCGGTCTTCATGCGACCGGAGGAACGTAAACCCAAATTGACATCATCGAAGGAGGTGAGTGTATGCGACCGAGCGAAACTAACATGCTTGGTTCTGAAAGAGGTGGTGGGGAAAAAGAGAGATAGAGAGAAAAAAAAAAGAAGGGGTAATGATGAAAATGAAAGAATGCGCAAAGTAAAAGGGCAATAGGAAAGAGAGGAGGTAAAATATGGAGTATAAGAAAAATAGAGTTTTTAGGTAGTTTTTAAGATGTGAGATTTAAATATTTATCAAATTTATTTTGCTAAGCACGATTGAGAGAATACGAGTACAGGTAAAGCTTAGAGCTGCTCAGTGAAATAGAAATGCTATAATTTTACATCTGACGTCACAAACAATTACTGCTTTCAATTGATTGGTTTCTTCAATTTATTCCAATTCTCTTAGTTAAAGCGATAATAACAGTTTAAGGGCCAACCAGTTTTCTACAAAACCAAGCTATTTTACCGACATCCCAGAACCAAATGTAAAACATTGAGATGAACCACAGCAAATTTTTGTTCTCGTCAAAGAGTTCATTTGGTTAAGTTATTTTTTACTTCTTATTAAATAGTTGAGAGCGTTTTCCTCACATCACAGTTGAATTAAATAAATGTTTGTTGCTTTTTTATACAACTTTCATGCAGTAATACTCTTTGGGTTCTTGGTTTGACGTCACAATATTTTTTTTTTTCAATTTTTAGTAAAGTTTCTATTCAAGAAAGTTCTTAACAGATGCTTACTGACGTCTTAGTAAAAAATTTTGAGTTTTTAAAATAAACAATCCACATTATTTGTAGAAATAAGCAGCCTAATCTGAGCTAACACTTTTCAAATTCTTTCAGTCTTATAGTGACTTTTGATTTATTGACGTCACACAGATTTTGTTTTGCTGCGTCATTTTCAGCAATTTCAAATCTCGTATCATAGTTTTTGACGTCACAATAGCATTTACATAGACTAGGTGAGGCTATGTTGGCTGTTGATGAATCATGAAACACATCGATTCCACCCAGAGCTGAATGAGACCCGTTGTAATGCTATATATTCCTGACTCTTAGACTTAGCTATCAAAACTCTACGTTTTTCTGCTGGGTGCCAGTTTCGTCTACCACATCATTCATGTAACTCTATAAGAACTTCATAATTTGTGTGCAGGTAGTCTCGCTAGTGCTCGCACCTCTTAAGACACTTTCTATCTTTATGTGGACTAACTATCACGAGATCTATTAAGACACTTTACTATCTTTATGTAGACTAACTCTCACGAGAGTTGTCTCCTTTCGGTCCAGTTCGCCCAGATTTACAGAAAGTTCTAAATTCATTGGAGCATGCCAATGAGTTCTTTGTGCAATGAAATCTGCATTCCTTTACAAATTCAAACATCTTACCGTTTCCCTTCGATTTCTTCATAACCAGATACCCGTGGGAGAGAGATAGTTTTAGTTTTATCTCTAAAATAAGTTTCGATAGCTGTGCTGCTGCTATAATAGCAGAGATCTCCGTCTGAATCACACTTTAATTATCTAGTAGCCTGAAAAAATATTGCACGTGAGAGTTATGTGAGAATACACCACCACCACCGACTCTCTGTTAAAGTTTTAATGTCACCAGGAGTATACTAATTATCATTCCAGTCTTCTTTGCTTAAGAAATGATATTGGTCCACATCGGTCTTAATAGGGGAGTATATCTTTATATTATTTCCGGGTATCTCTCAATGGCTAAGTGCTCTATTGGTTTGATTTCTGAAACGTAGCACGCTGTGACGTCACAGAAGCACTTCTGTCAATTGAAATTTCAATACAATCAGCATTTTCTGGCACAACAAAAAGCATTTTAAATTTTAAATTTTCTTAGGTTAAGCCAAATTACTCTACAAATGAGCGGGTAAGCTTTTTCTCATCGAAAAGTTACTCAAAATATTATATGAGTCTATAATATGAATATCGATGGCTGCTTTATGACGTCAGAGTAGCAAGTTTTTCTTAGCCAAAAATAATATTTTAACAATTTTTGCAATGTTCTCGCATATATAAGAGGTTGTAGGACATCCGAATGCTAAGTTTGCGGTTTTCAATTGTGTTTTTGCCAATTTTTATGCCAATAAATAGCGCAAACTCACTATTATTTATTTTTCAATTTGAATTTTGTGACGTCACTTTTTTTTAACAATTTTAATTTTTTTTTTTAGCAAGCGAGTAAGAAGCCTGAAGCAAATTATTCTATAAATCATTTTCTATTTAAACTACTCAATCGTGTGCTTTCGTGTCTAGTGGAAACTTTACCTCGGTGTAGTGCCGCCCATTTGTAGTTGCTGGCCGGCTGGCAGTCCGACATGGGTGGGATAATGATACGAACTGCAATAGAAGTGATGGAGTATTACTCTCTCACGCATACACAGACATACTCTACTGCTTATACATATGTAAATAGATTTCTTTTTTTTTAAATTTATTTCTCTCTTAAGAGAGCGTTTAATTCCTTCGGCTTTTTATACGTCATGCTTCGGCTTGATTTAAATATACATTTTCGTATTCGTTTAATCTCTTTGTCTACATACCAAATTGTTTCGAGTGGATTTGTGAAGTTTTGAAAATGATTTTGTGCGCATAGTGCAAAACAGTTCGTCATATAAATGTTCCGATATTGATAATCGAACGGTGTTAGCCAACAAGTCAGGCTTGCGCTGAAGATTTTCAATTTTTGTTTGTTTTTTGATTTTTTTTTTTTTTTTTTGAGATAATAATAAATAGAGAAATAAAGACAAGTAGTATTTATTAATTTAATAAATTCCATTTTGATTTTGGAATCATTCATTTGCCAAATATACTTGAGCGGTTATGATGGTAAATGTAAGAAAAAGTCGAACTTCAAGCACGAAATTGGAGGCACAAGAGTGAACGGCGGTGATTGAATGGTTTGTTTGCTTGATAATTGACTGTTTTTTTTTATGGGTACTCAACTCCGTTGATTTGCTGCGCATGCGCAATATGCAGAGTAGAGTTCAGCGCTTTTATGAGAACTTTTTGACTGTTTGCGTTTGAGCGATGCGATAAGTAAATATTGAAAACGAGTATGCATGCGATATCATGCAGCGGTTCACAAAAATACGGGGTAGACTGACAAAATTGTGTTAGGAAAAAAGGAGCAAGAGAGAAAGCGCGATAGTATTTATTTAAGCATTGAAATAGTGAACAAGAGAGAAACTTTACAAAACGTTTCGGTATGAGTATGCGTGACGTCGGAAATGGTTGTTATGCATATGAGCGGCGTCGAGTTGTAGCAGAAATTTTACAAATGCAAAGGAAACGAAGAAGAAGAAAAGTATTACAAACGAAAGATTAAGTCGCAAATAAAAAAAGCAACAAACCAATCTGATATAAAACCCTTAAAGTTATTCTTTGACGGAGCGGACCAATCTTCTCTGTTCATATTTTCACTTTAGTTTATAGCATTATATTTTCTATATTTTTTCAATTTATTTAAATTAAATTTACTTATGTGTTTCTATTTCATATTATATTATTTCCGATTTTCTATTTTATTTTTCTTCATTTCATTAAATCCAGTTTAATTTTAATTAGTTTTATTCTATTTTGTTTTATTTTAATTATTATTGCTTTGCTTTAGTTTATTTTTTTGTGTTATTTCATTTTGATTAATTTTTTATATTATTTTTGTTTGTTTTATTTCAGTTTAATTCATTATATATCATTAAATTTCATTGTATTTTATTCTATGTTTTTTTATTTTAATTTAATTTATTGTATTATATATTTTTTATTTTGTTTTATGTTATTTTTCTTTATTTATTTCTTCATATATGTTTATATTTTATTTTTACTTATTTTATTTTATTATTATATATCAAATTAATTTTAATTTGATTCTTAATTAATTTCTTAATTTTTTATAGGTTAATTAAATTTATTTAAATTTAATGTAACTGTTATTTTTTCCTTGAATTGTTTTATAGTATTTAATTTTAATAATTATGCATTTGATTTTACTTTATTTTATTTTGTTTTTTTTTTTTATTTTATTTTATTTTTTTATATCAATTTTTTTTTATATTAGTTTATTTTAGTTTTTATTGTTTTAATTTATTTCGTTTGATTTCATTTTATTTTATTTTATTTATGTTATTTCTCTTTATTTGATTTTATTTTAATTTTTTTTAGTATAGTTTAATTAATTATTTTATTTCTTATAATTTAATTAAATATATTTGGGTTATTGAATTATTCAGTTTAATTTTTTTTAATTTGGTTTCATATTACTTCATCATATTTTAATTTATTTTATTTTTTTATTATTGTTTTGTATTATTTTATTTTATTTATGTTATTTTTCTTTATTCATTTCATTATAGTTGGTTTAATTTCATTTTTATTTATTTTATTTAAACTTATTTCATATTAATATTTTATATTTAATTTAATTGTTTTCTTAATTTTTTGTGAAATAATTTAAATTTAATTTAAATATTTTTTTCTTGTATTTTATATAATTTAATTTAATTTTGTTACATTTGATTTTATCTTATTTTATTTATGTAATTTTTCTTTATTTGATTCTATATTTTTTTGTAATTTAGTTTAATTAATCTTTTTAAAATTTTATAACATATTTTAATTAATTTAATTTTACTTTTGAATTTCATATTTTTTTTTATTTTATTGCATTTTATTGAATTTTATATTATTTGTTTTGTGTGACAATGTTTCATTTAATTTTGGTGTGTATTAATCTTGTTATTAATATTATTTAATTTTTATATTAATTTATTTTTAATTTATTTATTTAGTGTCCATTCAAACCAAAAATTTCAATTAAAAGGAAGCTTTTAGAATAAAGAATGAAAGATTAAATTTTTCAACCAAAACCTTTAGCAGAGTTCGAAAAGCAGTTATCCAGTGATATGACATATTTGAGGATTTTTCAGAAAAGAGCAATAAATTTCCATAAATACACTCCTTTAGTTAGTTACCTCGGATCATTGGTAAAGTTGACATTCTCATTGCCGACGCCCGACTGAACGCCCATCCAAGAGTATCGTTGTTGCGGCGCAACACCTTGGACAAGACTCGGTGCCGCTCCAGTGATACCGCTACCACCACCACCACCGCTGCCGGTGTCTGGGGTTTTCGCAGTGCTCAATATCGAAGCTGGTTGTCGTCGAAAATAGGAACTATCCATATCGGAATCAGGTGATTTGTCGTCGTCGTGTTGTGGAAATGGGCGTTGATATCTAGTAAGGCATACATAGAAATAGATACATACATACATATAATATGTATATTTATTTATTTAATTAAAATAACTAATGCACCAACACTCACCGGGGATACTTGTAGAAAGGCGCGTAAGCAGCTAAGTTCTCATCCGAGGGTACACGACGTCCAACACAGCCGCCCAGAAACGATTGCGGCACACCGCTGCGACGCGAGAGACAGCCAAAGAAACGATCGCGACGCGGCCTCTCGATGCTATGCAGCTGACGATCAGTTAAGCAGTACTGTACTTAAGGACAAAAACAGAGAAAACAATGAAGAAAGAGTAAAGCAAATAACCAAGTGTAAGTCACAATAAAAATAGTATAAGAACAAGAGGAGATTGCTTGTAACGACGCGCTTCGCGGCGCAGAGCATTCACCTGTTCACGTATATCGCCTTTGGAGTAAACGGATGGGCGCGGATATAGCTCTGTGGAGGAGGTGTGTCGCAAACGGCGTCGACTCATATTCTCATCTTCGGAGTCGTAACTGCGATCGTAATGGCTAGAAGAAGCAGCCGCCGCTGATGACTGCAATGAAGCGAAAAGTGCAAAATAATTAATGGCTTTCATTTCGCCCGACTTACGAACACACAACAGAACGATCAGCTTGGATTGCAGGCAATTTCTTGGTGCTTACCTTAGACGCCACCTCAATAGTGCCTAACGAAACTGCATGATGTAAACCTGTAAGAAGAGTGGAAGGCATAAAGAAGACGGTGGGTAAGTGATGAGCAGTAATTATGAAGCTTATGTATGTATGTTTGTATGTACTATATTGTTAGTATATTTGTATATTTCTGTTGAACAACGAAAATAATTAGCAACACCCAAATCAGCGTTGCAAATAAAGTTGTGGCACCTTTGTCAGTTCGGCGTAGTTAGTAACCACACAGCGGCAATCTGAGGCAATGAGTGCAACGAACCTCTTGACCGGCGGCGTTTAGTACACGCAGGCCCTCTGTCGTTGCCTTGGGGTAAATGGTAAGATGAATACTTCAGCTAACCGTTTAAATTTTAATTATTAACTGATTAAATCGTCTTTAATGCTAATAAAAACTGGGACTAATTGCCGATAATGGACTGCGCAGATGCGGTGTGCAGGATTAAGGCTTACACGCTACCATTCCGAATGTACATATAAAGGAGCGAGTTTAAATAATGAAAAAGCTTCGGCTAGGGGATATCGAATTTGAAGTTCATTTTAAGCATAAGAAATAGAAGTTGAAATAAGGGACGCATGGAGAAAAGTTTAAGTCCTACTCACAATTATTCTCAGGCGAGCAGATCTTGCCTAAAAAACTTAAGTAAGGTAAGACCAAATCTTACTTTTACCCCCGAAGTTTTTTTTTGGAATTTATTTCGTGCGTACGAAAGAGAAAATAAGTCTGATCCAAAACAATTTCAAGAGTAAGAAGAAATGAGCAGACGGTATGCATAAAACTTAACCAATAGTTGGAATGGAGGAGAAAGTAAGTCCTATCCGTAACCATTTCAAGGGTTGACAGGACCGAGCTAAGATTATGTGAAACAGAAATTGCATAAGACTTTCTCGGTGTTTTAGTAGATCCCAACGCTGATGAAAATTACATTGTTTTTTTTGTTTGCAATTTTCGTCTCCGAAAGAGAGAGTTAGTCCTATCCGAATCCATTCCGAGAGTAAGAAGAAATATGCTTAACGAATTGACAGCAAAATTTACGTAAGGCATATCTGGATTGAGAGTATATCCTATCTACGATATTTCGTGAGAGGAAAATGAACAAAAAGGATGGTGAGAAGATCTTACGTAAGTTCTTACCAGAATATGGGCACATCTTCAGAACAGCATTATCAGATCTGAGGAGTAACGAAGTCCCATCCATAAACATTGCAAGCATAGGAAAACCATTAGAGAGTGAGATTTTATATACTAGGGAGAGAATTCATAATGATCGCCTCGTCCTCAGAGCGTCTTGCTCAAAGCAGCTGTAACGTCCCTCAGAGAGCTTCGCGGTTTAATTTTCAGTTATGCACCGTTAGATGAAATGTTTTACGCACTTCTTAGCATAAAGAACTCAGTATGAAGGCTAAACTGTTGATCCGATGCGACTTCGCTTCGCTCAATGGGCTGAAAAGAACTACCAAAAAATTTTCTTGTTTCTATTGTAAATGTTGAAGAGGATGACATGAGTGACATTGCCTCAACAAAACGGCCATACGTCAGCCAACGGTACACTAATTTTTTTGCATCCTGAGTTAGAGAATTGCTAAATTAGCTACCTCTTTGAATTGACTCCGTTGGTTAAATTTTTGTTGGAAATTTAGGTGTTACGGGAACCGTCTCGAAACATAGTTTGAAGTCGCTATTGAAACCATAGAAAGCAACTCAACTAATACTTCTCAACCAAGATCCATGGTATATCTTACTAGCTGCATAAAGTGATTTCTGAAAACCCGTGAGGAACTTCGCCTCAGCCGAAGTAGTACCACATGCAAAGAAAAAGATTCCAGTCACTTTCGGAGTAAATGTCAAAAACTTTTATCACCTCCAAGTATCAACTGTGTTAATGGAAGCTTTGTCCTCGGAAAAAACAAAAATTTTAGGCTTAGTAAAAAGTAATCTATTATTTTTGCATTAAACTTATGCCATTGTGCTTTTCTCATGCAAACCCTTGTTTCTATTGGCGAAAAATTGAGACAATCGACTTTTACAAGCTTCTCTTGAGGTTAATTCTCCATCAGCCAAAACTTCGTCTATAAACAAGAACGGGTCCTCTCTATAAGCTGGATAAGAACCTCCCGATAAAGCCCTCGGAGCTTTTAGCAAGTCACTAGCAATGTGCCGGACAACTAGCATTGTTCTGATGAAACACAATTCCCCTACTGCTGCGCACTTCTAGGCAGTTGCTTCCTTAAGTCGATCCATTTGCTGACAGTACAGTGTGAACTAAGATTTTGGCTGCTGCGGAGCAGTTCAAAGTGGATGGTTCATTGCCAATTCTCCCAAACACAATCTTGGCTTGGATACCATTTGTGCTGGCTCACTACCTTTCGACCACGACTGTTTTTAGTCCGCTTCAGAAATGAGTTGATTTTGTTCAGCAGCTTTTTGCAGATAAAAGTTTTCCCCATGAGGGATTTCCCCCCTTAATTCATGTCATATATATACATCTTCTTTGTGTACCCGGCTTTTTACAAGTTATTTCAAATTATATCTTTTTTTTGCAACTTTTAGCTCCTGGGCATTCGATCCATAATTTGATCTTAATTTTCAACAATTGGCCTTCAACATTTTTTCTAGGCCAAAATATCATCTCTCTAAAGCTATTTAACATATCCCCACCGTGCTGATAGAACGCGACATACAGAGCACTAAAGCTATCTGTTACAAAACTAATGGATTACTTTTAAGTAGACCTAATATTAAAGTTAAATTCCTTAGAAAGTATGACCTCAAAAGAAATTTAAATTTTTCTTTGTGGCTTTGAAAATCGTTTAGAGTTTTACTTGGGTTTCTTTAAATTCTAGTTGAATGAAATCAGTCCATAAAATAGCTACTGGAGTTTTTTTTTTAGATATTTTTCGAGATTTCTTGTGCGACATTAAAGAATTAATTAATTAATTAGCGCTTGTTTAAAATTAATTATTTAAGGTGTGCGACTTTGATAAAATTTAATTTATTACCCTTAAATATAGGCAATGTTTTATTAGTACCGTTTTATGGCTACGAATCATTTCTCAAATGTATTGTGGCCTACATTTAGGGTACTCTTAAGGTGAGTAATGAAAAATGGTCAAAAAATTCAACTAAATTTTCACGATAAGAGCACTAAATTAAAGAAAGAACTGAAATAGAGAATACAAATGTGCACAGCTGCCAAAAAAAAAAAAGTTTTATAAAAATTTGTATATTTGTATTTCTGAATATTTTTTTTTTATACTATTTCCTAACTAATTTGTTAAATTATTACCCACATCTCGTTTGACCTTCCTGTACTGCTCATAATGCAGAAGTTTTCTGAAATTGCACAATTTATCTATGTTACAGTAAATGTATAAATATGTACAAATGTATGAATGTATGCACGCGCAGTGTGTTTGTTTGAAGGTCTTACAACTTTAACTTTTACTTTCTGACACTTGCCGTTCACCTTGCGATCCAGCAATTACGTACTTAACGTACTTAAAGCGCACAAAATGTGCTATGGTACATATGTACATACATATTTAATATTTACAAACAAAAAATACAATTGCTGATTTGGCAACACCTACGCGCAAGATGAATAAGAAGAAGAACAAGAAGCACTGCAAATAATATAAAGTAACATATTTTCATATATATATATACATGAATGTACGTATGTATGTGTGTATGTTTGCATGCATGTGAAAGTAAGGAAAATATAATAACAACAAAAACTCTTGTGTTAATATGTAAGTTTAAGAGGATAATGAAAGTTGAGTAAGTAAAATATTCGTTTATGTGTGTGTGTGTGTGTGAATGTGTTTGTGTGCGTTGCTGTGTGTGGCAGTCAAGGACTCGACATAACTTGTCTCGTATAAAAGGAAAAATTCATATGTATATACATTTGTATATAATTATCATAGAGCATGGACGCGTACAACGAAATTACATTTGTGCCAACAACAACAAAACACAACAACAGCAACAACAATGATTATATATTAAATAGTAGAAAAACAAGCCAACTGACCTACCAACTAAACTGCCAACACGTACACAGAGGAGCATAATAGTCTACAACGGTACCCCTCGTAAAGATTCATAACAAATGAAAAGTATTCAGAAGTATTATAAATCTTGCGGCAGGCAGTAGGTGACGAAGTAAAACGGCGGCACAGCGTACAAAAGCAAAGTGGAAGAGCAGTTGAGGCTGGCGGCCTGGCGTATAGAATCAACCAACCAACTTTGCTGACAACTGACAGCACACACGCAGCGCAAGGAAAAAATATGACAGTTAATTTTTTTTTTTTTTTTTTTGGACTTTCCATACGCTGTGCCTCGGGTAGAGAAGGGCATGCTTACGTATGTAAATATATATATTTGATAGATTAATCAGGGTAAGGCAAGGGAAGAGATAATTTGTTTTATGGTAAAATTGCTCATCTTCTGTGAAGTGAGCTCCAACTCAATGAGCGAAACGAAATCGCTTCGGAAGAGGCTTCACTTTTTGTACTATCCAACAGGGTCATAGAGCGCAGCTGGGTGGGATAGAGATGGCAAGCAGATTCGTTCTAACAAAACTTTCCGATATCCTTTTGAATTCATGGAATTTACGTATAAGAGGAGACCTCATCTAGTCGAGGATGCAATACAATTCAACTCAACTTTAGGTAACCTGGACCAAGATTAATGGTAGCGCTTAGGTACCCTTAAAATGCTTGCTATTTTTGAAGTAAGAAGAAGTCCGTTGGTTTAGATTTTTCCAGATTGGGTAAGAAAGCGAGTCCAGTGGGTCTGTTAGGGAATGAGGATAAGACTTAAATATGTTCTGTCATTCATAACTTTGAAGTCCTAGATAATTTTTCCTATTAAAGAACCAGCACCAACTCAATCAACAACGTAAGTCTTTAGCCTCATCCCTCTCCTTCCAACAGGCGCGTCCATTGCGTAAAGCGTAAAAATATGCTGTACCCTCGACCACTTTTCATTTGTTGCATCATTCAGTGTTTGTCTCAAATCTAGATGCTCCGCTACTAACTTTGGTTCAGTGAACGTGTGTCATCCGCGAGTTGTCAGTCTTGGTCTCGTAAATGCGAGGCGTTATATCAGAATGTGCATCTTTTATTCTACACTGCTCCGACTGTGGGTATCCGGAATAATTCAAAATACTACCGCGGATAATGTTCGATTTGAGCTACCACTAAGGACGAAAGTTTTGGTCTTGATATAAAAAAAAGAGCTTCCTTGACTCTTCACGATGTCTACCTTAAGCTAGAAGAACCTCTCAATCTCGAGATGCTGAAGTATTAACCCAACACACTTTGAGTTGCTTCAATGATCAGCTGTGCAGACCTCAAATCGACAAAGAAATGGTCCTTTGCGTTTAGTCCATACTTGAAAGCTCAGCAGCTTCCAAATATTCTAGTATGATCCGGAACCTACAAATATTATTTCAGTTCTAAAATGAATCGAACGTAGTAATTTTAGAGCTAACAGTCATAGAAGCTTTTCGGCTACTTGAGCATATGTACGAGTATGTTCGCCTGTTTCACAGCTGTGCCACTTCGAAGAAGTGTGTTTATATTTTCGTGGATTTCAGTTACCTTGGCCTGAAAAACACTGCAATCAACTTGAATTCCGAACCCTTCGACAATGAATAATACTCAACAGTATATTCCTACACCGACCCGTGCGTGAGGCTTCGATCCAACCATGAGGAAGTTAAATGTTCCTTTCCCTCAGAAACTCTGTCCTTTCTGTTCCTCAGAGCCTCTCGGCGAAAGCTTGCAAGCGAAAAAATCAAGCAACTGATCAGCTTGAGCCGTCTCATGATCCAGACTACCTGAGAATTACAGTGAATTTTGTAACGACAGACATTTCTGCAAGATTCACAGGTGCTAAACTATACACGTGGCTTAAAGCGCCAGGATTATGGTAATTTATTATACGACATAGAAGCCCATGAAAGCCGCTCTTTGAACGATTCCCAGCTGCTTGGCCAACAGCAATAGTTTTTAGCCACCGATAATTTCTTTCTGCCCTCCTTCCTCTCCTTGATATTTGCCTTCCAGTACATTTTATTATTAGGATAGTCCCGTAGTACTAAATTTTCACGGACAAATAAATTCAAACGGCCCTAACAAGTGGGAAATCGCTATCGGGTTCCTATAGCAGCAGGTGAAAATGACAAGTAGCCTTAATGAGATTAACGACAAAGCCAGTTCTGGCCAACCATCCAGTCCATAAAGTATTGTACTTAGGAATTCACGCCCGATTATGAGCGCTACTTCACCCTCGTAGGCGATCATATTGCAGTCATATTTTTTCAGCTTCTTTCAAGCAAGTCGTTGACGGTCAAGATCCATAGAATAGCAAAACACCGCTTTACAGAGTGTTCCTATTAACACTGACTGTTGTGGAGTTTATGTCAACTAAAATAATGTGGAATTCATCCTGAGATCATTGAGAGGTCTAAAGTACCGATAATAAATCAATAAATGGAGTTGACTTAAGCCTAGGAACCAATGCAAAATTTCTAGGCGTAGTCTTGGATCGAAAGCTAAACTGGAAAGCCAACATAGTAAGCCCTTTATATATGTAAAAGAACCATTGGTAAGAAATGGGATTCAAGACCTAAGATCTATCACGAGATCTTACCATCTGTTGTGCGACCAATACTTTTGCAGGGGATAGCTGTATGGTAGCCTGCGTTAAACAAGGCGTTAAATAGGGGCGTTAAGCGTTCACCTTCTAAATAGAAGTCACATATCAGTGATGATTGGCATAAGGGCTGCGCCCTTAACTACGCCAAATGGTTCCTTGAATGGGATTCACTATATTTTAGCATTAAGCTTAATGGGGTTTCAAACTGCAGCGCTAGCCGCTTTTCGTCTAAGGGCGCAGGATCAGTGGAATAGCCAACGATTTGTACACTCGACAATCCAATAAAGATGCAATTTCATGCCAAGTAGCACAGACCGATGTTGCCCAACTTTTGCTAGCAAAAATGATATGAAGTATATTTCTGAAAGGAAGGAACGGAACAATAACTTCGATACTCCAATCGACAGTGTTGAAATCTTCACTGATGGGTGGAAACTTTATGGAGAGTTTGAGCGATTGTCTGTTCAAAAGTCCCACTTTTCGAGCCCCTTTTTCAAACAACAACGATCAAAACAATATATTACAGATTGAATTTTTAGCCACTATGAAGGCAGCCAACTACATTGGAACTAAAGTCACGACGAGGCATATCTTTATTTACAGCGATAATCAGCCTACGATAAAGTCACTCGCTCGCTTACAACGATTTAAAAATTTTGCTGGACTGCCGCTGGACCGCAAAAGATAGCCAGAAAAGGGCAGATTAGCCTCCATTTGGCTTCCAGGGTACAGGGGCATAGAAAGAAATTATAGGGCAGGCGAGATTGACAGTCAAGGCACGCCGAAGTGGTTTCCTCCCAGCAAAGATCATATAAGTAAGCCCTTTTTTATATATAAACTGCTACTGAGAAGTTTAACTTATGAGCCGACCAAATGAAGAGGGAACCACATTGTCACTTGTAGAGTTTCTACACATACGTGGCCGAAATAGGACCGGATGAATCACGCAAAATATGTTCTTTTGAAAGAGCGAACATTTCTAACAGTTCACTACACGAACACGGACGACATGCGGAGCATCCTTACGGAGCTGCTGTAGAAGCTGTAAGAACGATTAAGAGCAAGAAACGGTCTCACATCTGCCATATAACTGCCTCGTCTTAGACAGAGCTAGACTCTGATATCTAGAAGCTGCATCCATCGTTGAATTCTATAAGATGACAGACAAATCAAGATAAATTATATAATGAAATTTATGAACGCCTCGAATTGGATAGTTAGTGATGCGCAGTGATCGATTAAACACCGTGGTATCACAATAGTCCCACACCCGCCGAAATATGCTGATGCTCACAATTCTGCCGTTGCCCCTCAGCACTGAAAGTCAACTCCTTCGAGTGCATTTCTGACATGAAATGAGACTTCTCCTAAAAAAAACCATTAGCCTTTCGAAGGTGGCTTAGTGGACGAGGTATAAAGGATTCAAAACAACTCAGCTTCTAAAGATAATTTCGATCAGCCTATTAAATATATTTATGGGAATATCGCACTTACCATTTGGTCGCATCGCTACAGCCATACTTTTTTGAGCACCAAATCGCGCTCACCGCACACACCCGCCGCCGATTGTCACTGCTGCTCACCGCTGCTCTGACTGCTGCAACTCGGGTTAATCTTTGCCAGGGATAGTGATTGCTATGTGTAATTGTGCCTAGATTCTGCTATAATTACAGTGAAAGCTCAAACGCAGCTGCGTGGTGGTGGTGGTGGTGGTGGTGACAGTAACAAATAAAAACTCTACATTCTTTCATATGTACGTATGTCTGTATGTAACTCACAGGCTTTAGAATTCATGTAATATTGCCCACCGAGCAGCCTCCTCTCGTCTGCTCACTCCCAGCCAGAGTTTCACAGCACGGCAGAGCTAAGCTCCGACTGGCCTACTGTTCCTTGGCTGTGAGATGTGCGAGTCGTCTGACCCAGTCACCGGCGTCGCTTTTGTTCGCAACTTCTCAAGCTATTTATTATGCGCTATTGTTGTTGCTGTTCTACTTTCTTTTTTTCTTCTTATTGTTATTGTTGTTGTTGTTGCTGCTGCTGTGCTGTGTGCTTTGTTATTTGCGAATGTCAAAAATGTGTCGCATTCTTAGTTGTTGGCGAGGAAAACTTTAATATTTGATGGTCATAAATCTTTTGGGCTTCTGCGTTTAACTTTTGATTTTCGGCCGTTTCTGCTCTGCGTTTTTTTTGATTTATGTTGATTTTTTTTTTTTTTTTTTTTTTTTTTTTTTTTTTTTTACTTTTGCTTTTTAAACATGTTTACAAGCCTCAACTGTTGTTCGAGTGTTGATTTTGATGAAGATTCACATAACGTGTGTGTGTGTGTGTGTGTTTCAGTTTCTATTTTAGGTGTTGTTGTTGTTGTTGGCACTTACATATGCATTTAATTGAAAAGAATTGTAGGTTGTTGTTGTTGTTGTGGCTGCTGCTAAAAGATGAGTTTGGTTTCTTCTCAGTCGTGTGTAGTCTCCATCCATCTATATATGTATGTATGTGTATATAGTATTGTTGTTGCTTTATATTTTTGTTTATTTCTTGTTATTGGGCTTTTGTTGCAATTTTATTTCGTAGAACTGCAATTTTTTTCTGTGTGTTTTCTTTTTTTTTTTTTTGTTTTTTTTTTTTTTTTTTTTTTTTTTGTTTTTTTTTTTTGGTTTTTGTTTTTTTGTTTTCTGCTTTTTTATGGCACAGTGTTTATAGACAGTTTGTTTTGCTTATCACCAATTTTGTTGTTCTTGATGTTGTTGTTGTTTAGTGGCTTTGTTATAAACTGCATTTTTTGCTTTGCATACTCTTTAAATAGTTCATAACTGGAAGAAAATTGGTTTCAAATATTTTTTAAATTAAACTTTACCGTTATCCTTTGTGCACATAATTTTATGACTTTTTTCAAAATCTATTTATTTTAAAATGCATATTTTATATTTTAATTGAGCTGTAATACATATTAAATATTCATATTAAATTATTATAAAGGGTGTTTTTTTAGACACACATTGAGTTTTCTTTCTTTTTCAACTTCCTAAATTTCAAGACCAAGAATTTCTGTTGTACAAATTCTCATATACCGTTACTACTAATATGTTTTGCAGCTGTGCTAAGGCTGAAATTCGAAGAGTACGGATGTTCTGCTGAGACTCAGAGTTTGTAAATTTTTACGAAGGGATTAACAAAAGTTCGGTTAATTTGTGAATTTCAATTTGTTTTTGTTAAATCTTAAAATACCAAATCCTTTGCAATTTCTGTAATAGTCTTCCTTTCAAATCTTAGAAGGATTGGCTAAAATGGAGACGAGAAAACGCAAGATAGCTGAGGAGAGCTCAGACGAAATTAAACTACCAACGCAAACAGAAATTCGCCATTTGATTCTCTTCGGGTTTCGGCGTAATTTACAGTCGATAAAAATATTCAGTAAATGCCAAATTGCTAATGGAACGATTGCACCGTCTTTGGAGACTATTTCTAAGTGGTTCCGAAGATTCCAGACTTGACATTTTTCCATAGAGGACGAGCACTCAGAAGGTCGACCAAAATTCTCCGCTGATGACGCATGATTCGCGATTGGCACAAGAACTGATTGCTCATAAATTAGGCTTAAATGCCATTGCTGTATCGCAAATATTAAGTAATCATTTGGGATAGACGAAGAAACCTGCCCGATAGGTATCATGAACTTTAAATGGGGCCAAAAATAGCTCGAGTGGATTTTGCGCAATTTTTCCTAAACAAATTCGGAAATCGTCAGTCTAGCAACTTTAGTAAAGTCGTTACTGGCGAAGAATAATGGTTCTATATGAACAATCCGGAAATCGAAGAGCAATTCATGGTATAGAGCCCAACAAGAGCAAAGTTACCAGTGAAATCTAAGCAACAAAATTCAGCAGCAAAAGTAATGATTTCGCTTTTCTTTAACCGATCTAAAATCGTAGCTGCTTTTCCACTGGAAAAGTTCAGACGGTAACTGCAAAATGGTACACCGAAGAGTGCTTACCAAATATTTTCAAAAATTTATTGGAAAACAGGAAGAAAGGGGATTTGCGTTGCTACTTTTTGGAGATAATTAATGCGGTTAATGCTGAACTTGATAAGCTTGAAAAGCAAGATTTCGAAGACTGTTTTCAGAAGTAGATCTATAGAATCATTAAGAAATGCATTGAAATCAATGGCGTTTATGTAAAGAAGCTGAAAAAAGGCAAAGAATACGAATAAGAAATAAAAAAAAAATTTTTTTCCTAGTCAAGTTACCGAACTTTTGTTAATCCCCTCTTATTTATATACTTTCATTTTAAAAGGTAAGAATAAGATTTGGTACACGATAACAGGCAACTGTTTGGTGGGGCTTTACGACAAAAATGGGTTCCCACTCTAATGGTTTTTGCCACAGCTGTTTGGACGAAGACGTGCCGTCATCATCTGCGCGCCACAAATTCCTCGGAAAACACTTTTTCGACTTTATCGCTGAACTAGCTTCAGCGGCAATTGGAAATGGTTCGAACGTTTGAGAAGGAGAAGGCAAGAGCCTGAAAACGGTATCCTAATGGGCATACCTATTGGTCAAGGTGCGCTGGTAATACAACCTCGATAAATGAATGAAGGTTATATGGTCGAGTGAGACGAAAATAAATAATTTTTGGTCTGTCGCTTGAGAGTGGGTTTGCGGAATTAAAGACTCGAAATTTCATAAAAATCATCTCAGACCAACGCTGAGACTTTGCAAGGGGTTTAATAATGGCTTGGAATTACATAACCTCCAAGCGAATTGGTCGGCTGGCGTATATTAAAGTAACTTCTCTATAGAGATTTTGGAAAATAATTTATTTCGAACTATGGAAGACTTAAGAGTTAATGCTACCGATATTTCTAATACAAAAAAAAAAAAAAACAATGATTCATAGCTCAAGAATACACATCTGACTGGCTTAAAAACTAAAATGATAGACTTTCTTAACTGGCCGCCGCAAGCTTCAGACCTCAACTTATAGGCACATTTTACAAAAATCGATGGCTGAAGAATCCGATACCAAAGCAGAGTTATGAACTGAAGCAGTCCAATTGCGGCATTCTACTGCACCAGAATAGTGTGAAACCCTTGTGAATCGCGTTGTGAGTGAATGTAATTTAATGTTGGCACCAACAATTTAGCTTTATTATAAAGAAATGCCATTAACTTTCAAGGATAATTTCCGACAAGTGACCGCCGCAGCAGGCTTGAATAAACTCACGACGAGGCGTATAATTTTCGGGCACTTTTTGTAACGATTTTGGTCGTATGTCAGGTATAACCCGTAGAGAACTCTCTTCCAAGGCAAGAATCGTCTCAAGCTTAACTACGTAGGCAAGCGACTTCACATAACCTAAAAAAAAAATACCCCAGCGGTCGCACGATCTTGAAAATCCACCACAGCCTCACGACGTGAGATAAAGAGCTCAATAATGGTATTCTTTAATTGATCATTTCATTGCTAGTAAGGCATATAAATCCGTCTTTTTGAAATCAAAGATCATATATGAGAACATCCTCTTACTGTTAAGGCTCAAAAGAGCCATTAATTATGGTTCTGTAACATTCCTCATTGCCTGCAACATCATGAACGGCTTAATTTTTGGAAAACTGTTGCTCTATGATTCCATTTGCCCTCATAAAACACTAAAGATTGATATTTTGAGGATGTCTCGGCGTCTCAATAATGCTCAACGCCGAGCACAAATTTCTTGCCGTCGTAAGATTTTGTAAGCACGATATCTAAACTCGGACTTAATGCAAAATGCAATTGAGAAACGAAAACTTTTTGCCTGAGAGACGCACAAGAGCAGTGTTCCTCTATGTTCAAAGTAGCTTCAAAGCAAAGACTGAAGTTTCGAAAGGCGGCAATCGTTTTAAAGAGAAAGTCTATCAGGTTTCTGGTCAAATTGGCTTCCGGATCACAAAGATGTAGGAAGCAATGAAAATGCGGACGAACTGGCGCCGCTATGGATTGCACTATCTTACTGTGGGACAAAGTGGATAGTTGATAGGTCAAACAATTACTTACCTTAGGCAAAAGAGAACTTAGCATTCTTATGGGTATACTAGCAGATTATCAGCTGCATAAGCTTGTTAAAGTGGAATCAGTTGTGTCCAGAGCATGCATGAAGTATGGAGTGCAGTCTTAGTTATCCAAATCTGTTGGATTTCATATAGAAGTTCTGGGAAATTCGTTTCACAACTCATGCAGAATTCAAATTAACTGTAGATGTCTCAGGACCTCTCAGGTTAGGCATGTTTCTGATGTATCGAAGATACAGAGCCTTATCTTGTCTGCTTTCTGCTTAATTTATTTGAAGCCAGGCTTTGTCGGCTGCCTTTTACTTCATACTATTCGAGATAACACAGCTGAGGGTTTATCTGAGCTGAGAGTTTTCTACTCGAATTGCACTGGCACAATTGCAAATGACAGACAAGGTTAAGAGCAGAGCAGGTACGAATGCAATGCCGTGTCGTAATGGCAAGAAAGTTTGGTTATTTTTCAATGTTGTGATTGACCGCCACCCGCACTCTGGGGAAAAGAGGCTGAATTGCCTGTGTGTAACAAGCATGAGGGGATAGCGAACAGAAGAAAAGATCGAAAATTCCAATAAACAAATATACGTCTTCTAAAAGCTTTGAATACCTGAACAACCACACCTTGGACTCAAAGATTATACTGAATTTATGGAGCCCATTTCAGCCCACTGAATGCAAGTGAAATTGAAACACCGGAGGAAATTAAACCTGACTCCCCAATCGATTAGAACGGTAACGTGCGGAACGGTAATCGAACGGAACGGAAGAGTTTCTGGTACTCTCTGTCCAATTAAAGTATAATATTTGGAGAAATAATTAAAATTAACAGCTTTTTGAGTAGATATTTGAAAAATTTTAAATTTGGCGTTGCAGAGATGTCAAAGCCATTCCCTCAAATTCCCTGGTTTTCCGACAAATGGATGAAACAAAATTTTAGCCAA